AAAAAAAAAAAAAAACAAAACAAAAAAAAAAAACACAAGGGCTGAGGCTGGGGCTGGGGCTGGGGCTGGGAGATAGAGCACTTGTTTAGCAGGCTCGGGCCTTGAGTTCAACCCCAGTGCAAAAGGAGAGGGGAAGGGGAGAAAAGGGAAGGGTAGAAGAAGGGAGAAGAGGGGAGAGAAGAAAATCAAAACCAATAAATGTTGAACATTTTTATTAATTCATTCAACAATGTTAACATATGCATATTCACCAAAACTGGTATCCATCTTAGCAGAACACAGCCAGGTTCTCGAATCCGCTCAGGCACTCAATCTGTTGTATAACAATCCAAACTCACACAGTAAAGTAGCAGGGAAAAGAGAATGGTATTTTCTCAGTATTTTAGATAAGGCTTCTGCAAAACTCAAAGGTTAACTAGCTTTTAACCTGTCTTAAAGGCTGCAGTGTGTATCGGGAGTCCTGTCAATAAACCTTCTGTACCTTACAACATTAAAACCTCTCCATCTAGCGAATGCTTGGAGGAATTGCTTAGCCCTGCATGATTTTGAAACTGCACGATTCGACTTCTGGAAAACACTGACTCAGGAAGTTATGTGTCTTCCAAGTAAACACTAACATACTTACTTCACTACAAACATCAGAAAGTCATGCGGCGGCGTCACCTCTGATCGCACTAGGAAACTCGAGTTTTGGGGAGCTGTCAAGCTCACAGTAGGAGACACAAGCTGCAGTAGCTAAGGTGACAAGCTCACTTTGCTCATTTATCGGAATCTTCCCACAACCAGACACCATAAAGTCACAAGCAAAGCAGGGAACAACAGTGTGTGTATTTGTAAGGGAAAAACTCCACAGGTCTGCGACTCGATCCTAAATCTCTGCAAGTTACGGTACTGCTTGAAAGGAGCAGGACTGATTTCCACCAGTGCTTTTTCCCTCCAACAAGGCTTTATTGTGTGTTTTTCCAGTCAGTGCAATTTGACAGCTTATCCTTTTTGGGGTTTCAACACCTGCCTCATTCCTAGTCTGAAAAGCCGTAACAATTAGTCTGGGCTTCTTACAGAGTTCATGCTCTCTGCAGTTTGGTCATTCCTTAATTCTTCCTCAGCGAACTCTAGTAACATGACTCAAAATGATGTGACAGGCACAGTGACACTGGCAGAATGAATCTGGGGCAAGAGACACAGTAGGTAATTACTCGCAGCAGTAAAGCTGGGGAACACTTCAGCAGTTTAAATTTAGTTTTGCTTGCTTCTCTGGAGTGAATCCCTCCCCTCCAAGAGTAAGGGAATGCCTAGGATGTTCACTTCACTTGATCTGCATCTCTAGACATACATGGTGTCAAGTAAAAACTCAGCTCTCCTAATTTCTCCTCCTCAGCCATTAACCTATCCCTAAGTATAAAATATAGCTTAGTATCCTTTTGTTCTAGATTATTAAATTCAAGAATAATTTTATGTCTCTTATACTATTTTAAAGTTTCAAATCAAGACTGTTATGGGTTAACTCTGTATAGGAACTAGATTAGCTAGATAGAAATTTGAATAGAGCCTTTTATTTACTCAGCTCAGGTATGTCAGCCACTTCTCACACAGGAGAAGGCTGACTGCCCTGAACGTAGGTAGCAGGGGGTATTTATAACAGAAATCACATCGTTTGGTAAGCAAACTTGTTATCTAGTATAGAACAATAGAAACTTTATTTATTTGACATAGCTGTAAACTGTTTATAACTAAAAGGTCTTTTACAGCTTAGTGATAAGTGTATATTTTTACAAGATATATCTTAAGCTGACTACGGTATAGGAGATGGTTGGGGAGGGAGTTTGTGTTCGCTTGCTACCTTGACAAGAAACAGTTATTTACTGTTGAACAGCCTTGAGCCGAAAGGGAGAACACATTTTTTAGAGCAGATAACAGGAAGCACAAGGGGTTTTTTATAATTTTTTATAGTTAAGGCACAAAACGCTGTTAACCCTTTATAAAGACCACAAAGTAAATTAACTTTGGGGTTGATTTTCCATGGACACCCAGGAAAACTCAGGAATTAAAAGTCACAGCGATTAAAAGCAGGTTTAGGCGAAGATAGCTCGCAACGGATATACAAGAGAAGCACTGAAAGCAGTCGTTTCAGCTCTGAAAACAGGCGGAGCCACACCCTAAGCCCACGACCCTAGCAGATGCTGGGTGCACAACGCAAAGGTCATCCGCCATCAGAGGAAAGCGCAGGGAGTCTCTTGTGAGAGAAGGACCGACCATACCTTACTCCTCTCCCTAGAAGAGTACTGACAAAAGTTCTCAGGGACCCGCGGAGTTCTTCAGATCACGCTCTGAGAACTAATCTAAAGCAGAACTTGCTTCGCCGGCTATGGATCAAACTTACACAGAAACCAGCAAACCAGCGGAGCTCCCCTGGGCGATAGATCGAGAGCCACGCAGTTTCTCCGAGAACCTGGTTTAACTGCAGGAGATCGAGAAAGCCCGGTTCACAGAGGTGCCCTCAAAATAATGGAATAACTGCCCGGCCCAGCCTCTCGGGGTTGAGACAGGTTTCCTCCCAGTCCCAGGGCCTAGGCTCCCGGGCAGAAGCGCAGCACGATCCCACTCCAGCACTGTAACGAGAAATCCGCCCACCTGCGGCTCCCTCGCGGGCAGCCCCTCGGTGGGCTCCCCGCTGTGCCCGCTGAAAGTCCTTGCTCAGGTGGGTGCCCAGCGCCCCCCAGCCGCTGCAGCCGACCACGCTCCCCTAACCCCCCACCCTCGTCCTCTCACCCGGACCGCTCTGCTGGTGGCTAAGTCACCTTTTCGGGCCGCGTTGGCCGAGTGGTCTGGCTTTAGAGCCTCTGCCTCATTTCGCAACACTGTCCCCTGCACTGCAACGACCCAAGGAGGAATCCGGCCTCTGTAGCGAGCGAGCGCCGCTAGCCCGCAGGGACAGGTCCCAGGCGCCAAATCCTCTCCGCACCACCGCCACTTTCCCGCCCCCAGAAAAAACATCCGGCCCTTGGGGGTCGCGGCCGACTGCCGCAGGAGGAGGCAGGGCCCGCCGCGTCCCCGCCGGACGCATTCGCCTGGCCGCGCCGCCTGCACACCTCGGGTTTTCGCAGCTTCATAACGCGGTCGTCCAAGCGCCTACACTTCCACCCATGGTTTTTATGATTTTTCACCTCCAACCGGATAGAGTCTGGGGTCAGAAAGCACGAGGTCCCCAGGATGTCGGCTAAGAGCCAAGGCGGGGAAGCCGCTCACGGCTGGCCTCCTGGCCCGGGCCTGCGGAAGAGGTGTGGGGACCCAGGACTGCCCACAGGGCTTGGGGACGGTTGAGCCCGCTCCTCTTCCAGGCGGGGCGCGCCCGCAAATCGAGGGGCCGCTGTAGTGCCCCAGGCCCGCACTGACCTGCCCCGACAGCTGCGAAGGACCAACGAGCCAGGGCCACACCACACCTGCGGGGACCAGGGTGCGCGCCCCATTTATGCCGCAGCCGCCCCGCCCACTAGCGCACCAGCGCACCAATCTTCGGGCTCCCGCGGGGCCGCCGCTGGGGTCAGCTGAGGGCCGGTTGCGTGGCAACTCGGCCTTCCAGGAGGCCCACAGCTGGAACCCAACAGGGCAATGCGCCGGCTGGACGACCAGCACGGATGCAGGCGCAGGTTGGGGGCCAAGAAGATCCCTTGAGCCAGGCGCTTGTGTTGTAGGCACCTGAATTAGCTAGACATATTATAGGCAGTGAGACACGGCCAGGCCCTCAAGGAATCAAGATGGATGTCAAGGAGATTTTGCAACTTGGAAAGAGATATACACTCCAAGGTGGGAAAGTGGAGGTGGTGCAGAGAGGATTTGCACAACTTTATCTGGTTGGAGGTGAAAAATTATGGGCCACACCTCAAGACAAAAGAGGAAACATGCATACTTTTTTAGGGATGGGCATCGGGGATTGATAGTCTACATAGGTATCGATCACCTTGAAAGAGTCCAAATGAGTCACTAGTCCAACCCCCAACAGGAAGAGACCCTGTCCAGTATTCATGCCCGCTTGTTAGGTGACTCACTTCCCCATTTGGTACTGGATTGAATCTATTTTACCTGAACCATGGTGCTTGCAATCTCATTGGTTGACCATAGTTTTGTCCCACCTCATGCCCATCTAAGCAAGTTCCCACTTTCTTTACCACCTTAGACTCGCTTCACCGCATGGTTTTCCTTTATAAAAGTCCCTGAGGAGCCGGGAGATGGCTCAGTAGGATAAGCGCTTCCCTGGCAAGCGCGAGGCTCTGAGTTCAATACCTGGTTCCGCAAAAAAAGAAAAAAAAAAAAAAAAAAAAAAGTCCCTGAAAGAGACAGTGTCCTGGAGGGACCACCGGCTCAGGGGCCCCTCTTGTCCCTCTCTCAAACAGGAGGTTTCTTTCCCTCAGTATATATATTCTGCTCATGACCTCCGTTTGTTCCTAAGATTCATTCTTCGGTTTTAGAGAACAACGAACTCATCCCAAGTACCTTTTAGGTTGGGAGATCATTTTTCTCCCTGTGTCATTTAGAGGTTCCCTGTATCACTCAGGCTAGGTTTGCAGCTGGGAAACACAGTGGGAACGTTAAGGGACCTTCGGGGCCGGGCTAACAGAGTCAACCAGGAAATTGGAAATAGATGGAGACCACTAAAAAGCGGCTCCGAGCAGGATTGAATATTAACCAGTTGGCTTTTCAAGTTTGCCTGGCTTCAACCTCTGCTAGATAAAGAGTGTAGCTGCAGGCATCTCACCCCACCCTCCACCCCCACCCCCGCGGTGAAGCTGCTGCTTGCACCGCAGTTCTCCGGAATTAACAATCATGTATCCCTTGGGAAAGCCCTTGAAAGGATTCCCAAATCCTGCCCGGATTCCTGCATTTCGGGGGGATTCAGTATTCCGCCTCCATGAAAAGCTAATAAATACTAGCAGCCCAAGTTTTTTGTCCAAAACCCGAGAAAATCTCCAATTCTGTGACAGGGTATTTGATTTTCCTGGAGCCCTGAAATCACACCATTTGTCTCATTTACTTAAGCTTCCTCCTATGCTCAATTGGGAGACTGCAGGCCTGATCAGCCCTCAATAACTAAGACAACATTTTTAACAGCCCGACAGAAATGCAAATTCTCCAACCCCAGCTAGGCCCTGGCTTGCAGGATCCGATTCGGGGTGGGGCCCAGTCTTGCGACCCGGGCAGGCTGTACTTTGAGAAGCAGCGACTAGAGTCGGGGTTCTCAATTTCTGGGTTCATAAGTGATAGGTTTTGATGGTGTTTCAGCAGAGAAACAGGCAGAAGGAAAAAGGGAAAGGAGCTTTACTCTCTTGGAGGACACAGAGAGAATTTGGGAAGATAAGCAATTCCCTGGATTGGAACAAAGGGAGGCTGAGGCTTTTATGGCCTTTTCGGGGAGAACTGCACCCTGGGCTGAGCTGAAGAAGAAGGGGGGAGGTGGTCTCTGGGAAGATGAGCTGTTGTTTTAAGGGCTTCAGCCATACTAGATGACCATCATAATAATTCAGCAATTCATACCAAGGCCATAACCTATCATTCCCATCCTTTGGTTGTTATAAATGGGGTGACGTGTCTCTTAGGCTGCTTCTCACTGAATTGGGTTGTCGTCTTGGGGATGAGGGGAGTTGAGAGGATGACAGTTCACACCCATGTACGTGTTAGTGTCAGGTGTCTCAGCTAGGACTAGAAGTTTATCATTTGTGACGGCTCACATCGGAGACTGAAGAAACCTTGAAAAATATTTAAAAAGACAGCACGTTATGAATACATGTCATCATGACTAAAAGACATACAGGAAGGGAAGCAAGGGGGGGGGGTCTATGACCTGACTGTGTCATTTTACCATGACCATGTTGAAGAGGAGTATCAATCTTTAGTTTTTGTTATCAGTGTGAAGAAAGGGAGTCAGGGTCATCTGTAGTAGCGCAACACAACTGTATAGATTTTGTTAAAGTAAACTCTGTCTCTTACGTTAGTGTGTGTGTGGAGACATGGAGTCTATCTACCAACTGTGCTGGCTATAGTTATTTAGAAAGGTAAGCTACTTCCTGAAAAGATGGTCTCTTTTTATGTCATACAATGCCCACTGTATTGTGAGCCTGAAAAGAAGTACGTAGGGTAAAAGGCTGAGTTGGGTTGGGTAAAGAGAGCTGGCGCCCTTAGGAGGCCTGCTGTAGCTTGTGAAAGGAGGAATGTATAGGAGCAACATGGTCAAGGGGCTCTACGAAGGAACATTTTGATGTTTTATACAGAGACTGTGCTAGGAAAGCAAAGTTGGGAACCAGAGGAGGAAGAAATTAGGCAGACTATTATAACCTATGCAACCGTCTCCATTTTTGTAACGAAAACAGCTATTTTGGTATACAACTCTGTACATGTCTGTTATAACCTATGTGATTGACTCCATTTTGTAACCAGAATAGCCATTCTATTACACACCTCTGTATGTTTCCACTGTAGCTTTATTAACGAGGACTGTTTGGAATAAGCTGACAACTTAGACTTCATTTTTGTGGCTCAAGCCATCTGTCTGGCCTCTGAACACAGTTTTGTTAACGTTCAAAATATTCCTTTGTTCTGAGCCACAGATTGTTAAAAGCAGTCTACACAAAATTTCCTGTGATCAGCCTCATATCCTAACTTTCTGTTCCAAGGACAAGTCCCTGTTCACAGTGTTTCTTGTGATCAGTCCCATATCTTAAGGTAATAACTCTCTGTTCTAAGGATAACTCCCTGTTCCCAAAATTATCTCAATATCTTTTTGTGACATCCTGTGATCAATACCATGCCATAAAAATTATTTGTTCCTAAAACTGTAACCGCATGTTAAAAAAATGTAACCTGTTCCCCGCAAGTGGACGCTGACCCCAGTGCTGCACTCCCTCACCCTCAAGTCACCCCCCTCTTTGCGGTTTTCAGCTTTAAAAACCCTTGTCTCTCCCCACCTTGGCGCACACATATTTGGAGACGAGAGTATGTGCTGCCGCTGAGCTCAGCTAAATAAAGCGCTTTTAAGTTGAGTCCAGTTTTTGATTTTTGGGTTACAACAAGACAAAGGAAGGATAAAACCTGTTATTTTGTGGTGGTCACCCGAAGGTCACAAAGAAGCACTTTGTGGTTAGCAGCAATTGCATGAGTAGTGGGAGTGAGGGTGAGTCTTAGATATTTGACTTTCGGAGATGCTATCTAATCTTTGGAGGGAGAGACTGCATAAGCTGCTCCTGACAGAAAATTGCGAAGAGTAGTTGTATGTCTTAGGGCCAGGGCGTGAGAGGGAGAGCAAAGGGAGACATCATCGATATATTGAAGGAGTGGCTGGGCTAGAGTCAAGGGTCCCAAGATCAGCAGCAAGAGGTTGGCTAAGGAAGTGAGGACTATCTCTGAACCCTTGAGGCAGGACTGTCCATGTGAGCTGTTGAGATCAGAGAGTGTCTGGATCAGTCCATGAGAAGGCAAAGAGGTCCTGACAATCTGGGTGTAAGGGAATGGTGAAGAAGGCATCTTTACGGTCTAGGACAGTAAAGTGAGTAGTGGAAGGTGAGATAGAGCATAGTATAGGGGTTTAGCTCCACTGGGTGAAAAGGAGCAACCACATTATTAATAATTCTTTGTTTATTTTTGGTGGAACCGGGGATTGAACTCAGGCCCTTGCGCTTGCCAGGCAAGCGCTTATTCTACTGAGCTATCTCCCCAGCCCCACCACATTATTAATAATTCTGAGAAAAAAAAATAATTCTAAGATCTTGAACTAAATGATAGGAGCCATTAGGTTTGAGTACAGGAAGAATGAGGGTATTATATGGCGAGTGGACAGTTTTAAGAAAACTACTG